CGAGGAAGATGATTGGACTTTTTAGGGAGAAAGATGGACTTTATTATCTTCAAGAATCAAGTGGGCAAAATGAAACTAAGAATAGCTTATCTTTATCATTGTTTTTGAATTTTTAACTTCAAATAAAGATAAAATTTGGCTTTATTATCTTTGTCTAGGACATCCTTCATTTAGCATCCTTAAAGTTATGTTCCCATTGTTATTTAAAGGAATTGGTGAGAAACGTCTTCATTGTAATATTTGTGAAATTGCAAAGCACACACGTGCTTTCTTTCCTATAATCAACAAAATAACATCAGATCATTTTTCACTCATCCATAGTGATATCTAGGGGCCTTCTAATGTTCCTAATATATCTGTGGCTCGTTGGTTTTTTTCATTTATTGATGATTGTACTCGTGTGTCATGGATTTTTCTCTAGAAGATTAAGTCTAATGTAAGTTCAGTATTTCCCACATTTCATAGTATGGTAACAAATCAATTTGGGGTCGGGATAAAAAAAAAATTCAGATTAGACAATGCTAAAGATTTCTTCAATCAAGTTCTATCACATTTTTTCAGAAATGAGGGAATAATACATTAGTCATCTTATTTCAATCCCCCCAACAAAATGGGTTGGCCGAAAGAAAAAAATGGCCACTTGTTAGCCACTACCCAAGCCCTTCTATTTCAAAAACACATTCCAAAAAATAATTGGGAAGAACATGTTCTAACTGCTGTCCATCTTATAAACAGTTTGCCCTCTCGTGTCCTTGGTTTCAAAAGTCCCATGCAAGTTGTGACCAAGCACTTTCCCAACTTCAATACCACAAACAATCTTGTCCCAAAAATCTTTGGCTATGTATCTTTTGTCCATATACACTCTTATAATAGGGAAAAGTTCGATCCAAGAGCACTTAAGTGTGTTTTTATAGGATACTCGTCTACTAAAAAAGGATACAAGTGCTATCATCCTTCAACTCGAAAGTTCTATGTGTCAGCCGATGTAACATTTGTTGATAAAGATAGTTATTTTCCACAACCTTATCTTCAGGGGGAGACAACATCTATTGAAGATAAGGACAATGGCTTTTTTGTACTAGAACTTGATTATCCTATTCCTTCATATCCTCCTCCAATCCCTCAAAAATCTAGTATTCCAAACTCTGTTTCAGCCCCTATTTTTATTGAATCCAGCTCACCTTGTACTCCTACATTAGAAACACAAACTTTGGAAAAAGATAATCAGATTCAGAGTTTTACTTGCCATTGTTGGTTTATTCAAGGAAGAAGTTTCCTATCGTTCAACCTATACAAATTCAAGATTTTGAATCTTCTCATGGTAATGAGGTAATTACTTCTAACTCTCATGATGCTAGTGATGATCTTCCCATTACTCTTAGGAAAGGCACAAGAAACTGCACCAAAAATTCACTATATCCATTATCTGACTTTGTGTCATATGAGAAATTATCACGTAATCATAAAACCTTTCTTACATATCTAAACACTATAATCATTCCCAAAACTATGCTTGAGGCCTTAGGTCATAAGGAATGGACAGATGCTATGAGTGTTGAAATGGAAGCTCTTGAGAAAAATAACACTTGGGAATTAGTGGAACAACCCAAAGGAAAAAGACCAGTAGGATGTAAATGGGTGTTCACTGTTAACAATAAAGCAGAGGATCGCTTGAGAGATATAAGGCCAAGTTGGTAGCTAAGGGATATACTCAAACTTATGGAGTTGATTATCTAGAAACTTTTGCTCCTATTGTAAAAATGAGTACGATAAGAATATTGGTATCCTTAGCAGCTAACCTTGGGTGGAGTTTAGAGCAATATAATGTAAAGAATGCATTTCTATATGGAGATCTTGATGACAAAATCTACATGGAAATTCCTCTTGGCTTTGGTTCAATTCTACAAGGAAAAAAGGTGTGCAGACTAAAGAAAACCCTATATGGTCTGAAACAATCCCCTCGAGCTTGTTTTGGGTGATTTACAAAAGTTATGTTAGCAATAGGGTAAAAACAAAGCCAAGGAGATCATACTCTTTTTGTCAAGTACTCGGTGTCAAGGGGAGTAATTGCCTTGTTGGTGTATGTCGATGACATTGTTGGTAACTGGAAATGACATGGAAGGGAGAGAAGCTTTAAGGAGGTGTTTGATTAAATAGTTTGAAATAAAAGAGCTAGGTAGGTTGAAATACTTTCTTAGGATTGAAGTGGCTCACTCACAGCATGGGATCTTTATTTCACAATAGAAATATGTGATGGATTTGCTTAAGGAAACAGGAAAGCTAGGGTGTAAACCTGTTGAGACTCCAATAGAATTCAATCACAAACTCGGAGAAGCTCCTGAGGATATCCCAGTTGAGAAAAGTGATTATCAAAGGCTGGTAGGAAAACTAATCTACTTGTCATACACTAGACTTGACATTGCCTATGTAGTTAGTGTTGTAAGTCAATTTATGCACAATCCAAAAAAGGTACACCTTCAAGCTGTCAATAGAATCTTACAGTACCTTAAGGAAACTCCGAGAAAAGGAATTCTATATAAGAAAGGAGAAAAATTAACTCTTGAAGCCTAAACAGATTCTGACTATGCAGGGTCACCAATTGGTCGAAGATCAACATCAGGTTATTGCACCTTTCTTGCTGAATATCTTGTGATGTGGAGAAGCAAGAAACGGAACATTGTAGCAAGGTCTAGTGCAGAGACGGGATTTAGAGCAATGACTTTAGGGATTTGTGAACTATTGTGGCTCAAGATCATTCTAGTAGATTTAAAGGTAGAATGGAAAAAACTAATGAAAGTTTACTACGACAACAAGTCAGCCATCAACATAGCACATAATCCTGTATAACATGATTGCACGAAACACATTGAAGTTAGTAGACACTTCATAAAGGAAAAACTAGACAGTGGTCTAATTTGTGCTCCTTTTGTTTCTACTAATGGATGCGAATGTGCTCACCAAGGGACTAGCTGCTATGATGTTTCAAAAGATGATTAGCAAGCTTGGAATGAATAACATTCATTCACCAGCTTGAGGGGGAGTGTGGGAAAATCTGCCCAATAAGGAATTCAGGGAATCATTGTATTAATGGTATACAATCCCATAATTTAGGAGATATGACAATCCCTTAATTAAAGGAGTATCACAATCTCTTAATTAAGGGATTTAAGTTAGGATAGTTTCCTATTTTATTTGTTCTATACAAGTATATAATTTCAGTGATTGTACAACATTATTATTATGATCAGGAAGAAGAAGAATACTTAAGTTCTTCACATTTCATACAATCTAAAGCAGTCAAGGAAATCACAAAAAAATTTAGTAGCTTACCAGCATTGTAAATATCAACTGATGGAAAAGGAATTCTCCAAACATATGCCAGTAATTCCTTTTAGACAGCAACCCTAATTGAAGGAAAAAATGCGAAAAGGAAAATATGTGGATATAAAAGCAAAACATTTTTGGATTCAGAACACCATTATTATTCCACTTTCAGCGAAGTTCTTGAAATCAAAAGAAGAATTTAGAAATTCCAATTCCATCTCGTTGGTCACAATTCTTAGTAGAACTGGATATGTCTGTATTTTCCAAGATGCTAACTTTCAAAAATGACAAGTCTCGATCCAACAACTTCTCCGTTCGACAGAATGGTTTTCTAATTTTAACTTTGATGTTAAGCACATAAAATGTTAAACAAATTTTCTTCGGTATCGGCCAAAACTTTCTTATGCAAGTCCTGTCCAGACATTCCTATCATTTGTGCGTTGAATCCATCTTCCTCCCATCCATTCCCAGAAGACATCAACAACTATAATATTAACAACTTTCCTCCGGAACTCCACTCCCTCTCGAAAAGCAAAACTTTTCACTCCAGAACAAAGGACTTGATGCTTAAATATCAATCCTTGGTCAACAGAAAATTGAAATCCAGACTTTAGGAAAATTAGGGTTTCATCCTGATTGTCCTTTCTTTTACTTATTTCACATTGAACCTTACCTATCTCTCTCTACCTTTTTCAAAGAACTAATGTGTCTCTTATGGAATTTACTAGAAACTTTTCAAATTGCCATAATTTTTTCTTAAAATAAAGCACTTTACTAGATCACAACACTAATTGATTAGTTCCTAAATCACTTAAGAAAGCCATCAATGTGCATGAAGATTTTTGGATTGGTTCTATCCACTCTGTCATTGGGCACAAATGTTAAATAAGTTTTCTTTGCAATTCAAAAATTTGATAACTTCTCAAGAAAATCTTCATGCCATTCTTCTTTTTCAAAGGCAATGGTACTTTACAAAATAAATCTATGCTCATTTCTAACATGTCAAGAAGTGTACAATACTTCCTTTCAATCTCCATGCAGATTGGAAAAATATCCAAATGAGTTTAGAGGATTTTAAAAACGTATGGCAGCAAAAAACTCAAAAATTTCCCCACAAATTTGTCGAGACATAGAGGACCATGATTATGCCAAAAGGATTCAAGATACTAATTCTTATATGAAAAACACAGTCAAACTAGAAAGCTTTAGCTAGTCATCTCCCCAAATTTGCATAATGATGATTCTTTTCAACAATCTTGGGGACAACTTTATCTTGCAGGACCAGAGAACCTTGGAATCACATGTAAATACTCAGAGCAAATCCTTGAAAGAATGGCTCGTGAAGGAGAAATGTAGAAAGATCTATAGTATCGATACTATTTTGAAAGGATTAATGACATTGGTCCACAAAATCATCTTCAGAATGCTGTAGGTTACTTCGAAGACTCGTAGGACTCCTACTCCCTTGAAGATGATCCTTGATGGTACCATAGGGTGACTTAGACTGAGAACCATCTCCAGAAACAAATTTTGGAACCCTGTAACTCCACTAAAATCAGCAATGTGTCGTTTTATAAAAAAGATCCCTTCTACATGGCAGTTTGTGTCATTCTACCTGAATTTGTCAATTTATATTATTGTAACCTAGTCTGTTAATGTGTAAAAAGTAGATCCTCTACTTTTGAAAAAGTTAGGCCGCAGTTGGTTTGCCGTTTTCGAATCATTTTTCGTTTTTCGTTTTCGAAAAC